GCTCGTTGTGACCAACAAAATACATGCGAGTTCTACCGCGTTCGATGGATACAGTATTTTACTGCATAATTTTATGACCTTCGTTGAATAGTTATTTACAAACTTCACGCCAGTGGATAAAATTTCAGTTTATGTGACATTATCTTGGATTTAAAATGTCACACAAAGATCAGAACTCTCAACTTATGGGCCGTTATGGCTAGGTAAGAGATTTAGTGATCGAATTACATAGTACTTTGCGACGGCCATACTCTGTCGGTTGGCACTGCATTTTGAAAATTTTGTGATTTGTAGGCGACTGTTATTTTCCCTAACGTCGCATGCAGAAAAATTTGATTCTTGTTTTGAGTTACACGTTATTTATTGTTTTCATTTATATAATTCAGGCGTTTCAGATAGGTGCCACACTTTTAAAATTCGCTCTTGAAGTAGTCATATTTTTGCGATTTGTCGAAAACCAGTTTACATGTTGTAAGTTTATAGCTGGTTCTGAAGAATTCTCAGGCGCATTTTGAACAATAATACGTCCAGATATTCAGCTATGCCAAATCTATAAACTGTACAAAAACTAAGGTTTTAAATTGAAATCCGCTTGTTTTACAGCTACGAGAAAATCAGTCATATTTCCGATTTTCAACTGTGATAATTGAATTTGCCTACTCCTATCTTAGTATCTATCCTGAAAATGTCAAAATCGACTTACGAATGAAATGCAACTCGTTTTCGTAATAGTTATGGCTAAAGTAAAAAAAACTGAGCTTATACGAAAAATCTAATTTTGCATTGAAATTCAGTGTGTGGTTTTTACAGAGACAGCATCTTAAGTAGCCGTATTTCATTTACCGTCAGATCTCTTGACGAAATGTTAATAATTTTTGGTTCTGTCAACGGTGGTTGGTCATGTTCGGTTGTCGTAGTCGTTCCCTGGGATGGTAGAGTGATCTCTCTGGAGGATATCTCTTGATGGGATGTTGTTCTAAAAAAGAAGTGTTCCTTGGGACTCTTTCGTAATCATCAACGATGTAGGTACTTCCTTGCTGTGGATTATATCTTGGAGGATTTCTCGCGACCTCAGCATATGTCATTTGGTGATGCAGTGACTACGAGGAATGATGATTGCGTGTGTTCTTGTGCTGGAATCGGTTTTGTCCTACTCTCTCCTTATTAATTGCGGTTACGTTGTATCTGGGTCGATTGTGGGCAAATTTGCAGACTTTCTCTCATCGCGACGGTTGTTCTGGAATTGTTTGGGATTCATTCTCCTATGGCTTAGCTGTTTACTTATGCTTTGTAAATGCGTATTGTCGGTCATACCGCGTCGATCTTGTTGTTGCGAATCTCCCGTTGGTTTGCTCTCGTTGTACTTCCTTGGGGGTTTCAGAAAGCTCTCATGTTTAAATTCAGCTTCATACTTCTCGAGCCAAATTTGCTTGGATTCCCATTTCTTTAAGGATTTGGATTCTTCATGCGTAACATCTTCGTGCCATAGATTCTTCAATTCTGTAAGGGTATGACCAGTAAAACGGTCTTCAAGGAATTTTTTCATTTCTTCTTCCGTCTGCTTGCATTTTGAATAATGTCGTTCGGCTCGTTATATATATATATATATATATATATATATATATATATATATATATATATATATATATATATATATATATATATATATATATAACATATATATATATATATATATATATATATATATATATATATATATATATATATATATATATATATATATAAACATTTGAAGATTTGTAATCCCGGCATTTTATTGAATTATAATTTTTACAGATTATACAGTGTTCCCCGGATTGTAATTATTTGTTTTGAGCTTTCGATTCGGTACTTCGAGTCTTCATCAGAAGGATTGATCATTTGCATTTTTGCGCTGTTGTTGACGCTGTTGAAGTCTGTGGGAACGTCTGATTGGTTGATGGATTTCAGTATGTTGGTTGCCATTAGTAACTATCGAATGCGGTTGATTATTGATATCATGAGACGGTGTAGGGAAGGTAGTTGAGGGTGTGTTAAAGGTTAATGAAGATGAACTAGGAGATTTGTGCGAGCGTTTCAGTTGTAAGTAAATTGTAGGGATGTCAATGTGACGGTTAAATGTTTGTTAGTCTAAACTATGCCACGCTTCTTTAAACTCACGGACATGTTTGTTTGTTGCTTGTCCTTGTCGTTGAGACCAGTCGAATTTATGTCCGTTGTCGTCTATGTGTTTAGCTGGAAGTGAGCTATGGACGTGCCTTTTGATTGCGTTTCTGTGTTCTGTTAGTCTTGTCTGAATCTTTTTAGATGTTTGTCCAATGTACTTATCCGGACAGTTTTTGCAAGGGAAGATATAAATGGCGTTATGATTATCCGTTATATGTGTCTTGTCTTTGTGTTTAGTGAAGTTGGACCTAAGTTTGACAACTTATTAAATAAATAAAATCCAATTCAATATAAAGATACTGCTTGTATTTATTGTTTATGTATGTATTGTTTGACCACGACCCTCGTGGAAACCGGCTTTTAATAGTTGTTGAAGCCAGCGTGTTTAAATTAAATAAATAAAGTATGCACGTATCTGTACCTTAATGTATGCAGTACATATAAACCAGCGGTACAACTGCAGCTTAGCGAAGGAAATAAATTCATATCTCTCTGTTGATAAATCAGGGTCAGCGGTTCGGGGTTAGGGTTAGAGTCAGGGTTAGAATAGGCCCCATCATTCATAAACAGCGAGACATGAATTTATAACAAGAGCGAAGACCAGTACGTGTCTTGTTGTCCAACAACAACCAGTATCGCGACATAACCCTAATTCCTATTATTTACAGGTTTCTTTCTCATTTTGCCGCCAAAACTTTTATTAGGCGAGCTAGGGCAAAATCCGCATGACTATTGGCAGCATCACACTGGTTTCCGCTATAATGCAGTCTTGCCAAACCAGCATTAACACCAACATAATTTCCCTTATTTTCAATCTTTCTAGTGTAAGTTAAAACAATGAAGCTGGCCATTCAATGCCTTCTTTTGTTTCTGTTTGGCTTCGTTTTAGAAAGAGCATTTGGATGCAAAAAGGTAAGCTGTAAATGCCACAGACGCAAGTAATTTTTTGCTAAAATTATACCCCCCCCCCCCCGTTATTCCCACCGGCCTCGTTCCGCCGCCTATGGTCTGAAGAGGGTGAACTATACTGTCCGAGTTTTATATTGCTAAATTTGGGTTAACGTTATTTATAAAAAATCTCAAAATAATATATATGTGGGGATAAAGATGGTGCCCACAAATTCCCAGTCTCCTTTTTTATCAATTCGAGTATCGCAGCCATTTTTCCAAATCCCACTTTCAACTTCAAACTTTAAAGAATCTCCCTGAGCTGACGTGTTTCGCATTTAAATTTGTCTGCTGACTTTTAAAACACAGTATTCTACTTTCAATAGCTGTCTTCAGAATACGACATAAAAGGTTAAAGTCAATACCTGTCATGCATTATTTGTCGCATACCATACATATATACTAACGGCAAACAACGCCGAGCCCGCTGCTCAACAGGATTGAACAATGTTTTGCTGCCCATGTTGTTCACAGTTGTCGACAATATTGAACAATATTGTTGAGCCTGAATCGGGTGTAACAATATTGTTCAATGCTGTTGAAAACTGTGAACAATGTGGGCAGCAAAGCATTATTCAATCTTGTTTTCATCGATATTGCAACCTGATCGTTTTTTTGCCGTGTGCATATACTAATAAATCAATGACTCACAAAAGCAGAAAAAATGACCTCGACTATGAAAAGAGCAGAACGCAACCTTCCAGGAAGTTTTTAGACATATACTACATATCTGAATAAAGAATTTCTCGGTAGATTTCCTTGAAGTTTTTTAAACTCTAAAATGTCGCTCTAAAATTCTCTTTACAATGCCATTTTCGTGTCCGTTTTTGAATTATCATTCACACTTTTGTGTCTGTTTTTCCCAGACCCAATAACACGTATGGCCGTATCCCTTTTTTTTCAAATCCAACATTAGGCAAGATATGATGGTCTGGAAACCCGACAAATTTCAAAGCTAGCTAGAAAATAGAAATTTCCACTTTGTTTTATTTTGAACTGTACCTCACCGTGGTCGAATCCTTTGTGTCAACTTCATTACGTATTATTCATCGTGATTGTACGTTTCATCACAGCTATCCCTATCAGACGATTACTTATTTGTAGGAAAATACAATGAGCGCAATCACCGTTATATACCGTGCACAAATTAACATAAACTTAGACAAAAACATAATACCATGACTTCAGTTTATAGTTTGCAGACCATCATATATTGATAGATCGACTATGTCCTATATATATGGCTGATAGGCGACTCGGTTGTACGCACCTCGTCAGCTATCAACTCATATACGGATCGAGCTCATTATATAAATGTTAATTTGAAATATCACACAGCACTGTGCAGCTGACTATGGCTCTCAGGGACTCCCAGGAAGTTCATGCGCAGACATTTTGAAGCAAAGATGCGATGATGCTAAAGATGGAATATACTGGATTACGATTGGTATAACTCAATAAAATTAGACTACATTGCCTCAAAATCTAGACTAGGTTAAATAGATGAATAGTTTAATTGTGTAATACAATGGTAGTGACACAGCAATTCAATTGGGTAACTTTACAAATATATAAGAATTTAAATACTAGTATTTTAAAATTACAGAAAAATAGCCAATAAACTTTAATTCAAACACTCATTAATAATTCATAAGCTTATTGGCAAATCATGTTAACCATAATATGTCACGTGCAGTGGCTTTAAACCTGATAAAACATTCCTAATTAGTATTCTTTATAAAAAGAATACTAATAAGGCAGTATCTATTGTAGTCGTGTCCTCATTAGTATGCTTTATATAAAGAACACTAATAAGGCAGTTAGTCCAGCGGAAAAGTAAAAAATCATGCACTTTGTGATGAAAGCACCCAATTGACAGGAAGTGTAGACTTTAACATGAAAATGAATCTTAGATATGGAGGCATCGCCAAAATTGATGCTGACGGCTTAAAATTTAGGATTTCTTATATTCTCTTATTAAACTCTATTACTGTTTAAAATTGTGAAATTGCAGGTTCACATATAGCAAAAATGACTTGCATGATTAGAAAGCCTACAAAAAACTACATATAAGACTTTTACACGGCTGATCGATTTTCCAAGCGGTTTTCCAGTTATTGCTATTTAAAAACGTGATAAATAGGCAAAAATTCCGCCAAAGTTCTCGACACAAAGCAAAGTTCTCGACACAAAAATTCGCCAAAGTTCCGCCAAAGTTCCGCCAAAATTCGCCAAAATTCCGCCAAAGTTCTCGACACAAAAATTCCGCCAAAGTTCTCGTTCTATTTCGTGATCGTGCTCGTGCGCGGCGGGCGTGCGCCGCAGAGCTCCGTAAAATCCTAAGGATTTTACACTTTGTGATTGAAGTTCTGAGTAAAAAAACTTACAAAGCATTGGCTAAAGTCTCCTGGATTAAAGATATAAGGTTTTCTTTTGAAATTATCGTTATTATTGGCTGAATAATTTGTTGGATTTAACGTTGAATTGAAGTTTCCGTTGTCTTTTCCTGCACGCGCAAACAAGGGACGGTTGATACTGGCGAGTGCAAACGAACACGCAATCTCGCAAGTTTAATTGAAGAAAGTTGGATCGCGTACGCAAACTAGAATTGATTAGAACAGATTTTTCCTGATTATTGAACATGATTGCAGCCAAATTGAGCTACTTTCTATTCTTTTTGTGGTTAATTTTACGTGGTTTTCAAGTCACTGAAGAAAGCAAAATAAACTTGTTTTATGCATCAACGAAAGCTCTTTCACCACCGTGTTTTGTTCAAGCTCGTCGCGTGAGGAAACACATAAACTCCCTATCAGTTCTTCGATTCTCAAATGGCCTGAAATTACTACAAAGGTCGGTTTTGCCGCTTTTGTTAATCCTCTTGGCAAACGACGTAGAGATGAATCCGGGTCCAGAAAATACACCTGAACACGTTCCACCACAACAGTTAGATCACAACATGCGATGTCTTTATTTCAACGCCCGAAGTTTAGTAAACAAAACAATTGAATTGCAAGCACTAGTAACTGACTTTGATATTGTTGCAATAACTGAGACGTGGCTTAATGCTGAAATAGGGAATTGTGAACTCCTACCCGGTCAAAATTTTACAATCCATCGAAAGGATCGAGCTGATAGAATTGGAGGTGGGGTTCTGTTAGCAGTGCGGAACAATATATTTAACTTACGTAGAAAAGATCTCGAAAGCGACAGCACAGAAATGCTCGCCTGTGAAATTCGCCCGAAATCCAGAAAAAAACTGTTGGTTCTTGTATTCTACAGACCGCCCAACACAAATCTGGACTACATCAAGCAACTTAAGAAAGCCTTAACACTTGCCTCTAAAGCAAAGTTTGATTCTTTAATTGTGTGTGGTGACTTCAACCTTCCACATATCGATTGGTCTACCGGAGTAGCTACGAACAATGACTCAATTCACAATTTCTTCACTAAAACTGTCAAAGATAATTACTTATGGCAGCTAGTTGACTTTCCAACCCGAATTAACAACACTCTGGACCTGCTTCTTACCAATATTCCAGAAAAAGTTATAAACGTGCATGGATTCGAGGACATTATTAGTACAGATCACACACTCATAAGCTTCGATGTCGATTTCAAGATTTGTAAAAAACCGAAAGTCAAGCGTTCAGTGTATAATTTCAAAAACGCGAATTGGTCGGGTTTAAAACAAGTATTAGCAAATATACCATGGGAACTTGGTTTTGTTTCTGATGATATTAACACATTACTCTCCAGTTGGTGTGAGTCCTTCATCTCTGCCGTGAATGATCACATTCCCAAACGTACATCCCGCTGCGTGTATGACCCCCCTTGGATTGACAAAGAACTTTTGGCTCTGCTCAAAAAAAAAAACATTCAGCGAAAGAAATCGCGTAAGTCGAAGAGTCCAGAAGCCATCGCAAAATTCAAACAGTTGCGTCGTGAATCCAAGATTCTTATCGCTAAAAAGAAGATCGAACATGCAAACAAGATGAAAAATAGTGTTTTCGAAAACCCTAAACGTTTCTGGTCATACGTGAAATCTTCAACAAGATCAAGCCAAAGTCCGAATTTTCTGAGAAATGGACAATCATATATCACAGATAGTCGTGAGAAAGCCAACCTCTTGAACACTTTTTTCCACTCAGTTTTTAACCCCAGTAACATTGAACCTCCTGCTTCCTTTCCAACTCCTTCCAAAACCCTTGATAATCAGCTATCGGAGATCGAACTGATTGAAGAGGAAGTTGCTGCAGTATTGAGTAACTTAGATCCAAACAAGGCTAGTGGACCAGACGGTATTCCTTGTAGATTGTTGAAAGAAGTCGCGCACGAGATCGCTCCCTCTTTGTGCAGATTGTTCAACCTTTCCCTTTCCCTGGGTGTAGTGCCGTCAGAGTGGAAATTCGCCAACATATCCCCTGTCTTCAAGAAAGAGGATCCATCGATAGAATCCAATTACCGTCCTATCTCTCTTCTATGTGTACTATCCAAAGTATTGGAACGTTGTGTTTTTAACCATTGCTACTACCACCTCTCACCCCTGTTATACCACCTTCAACACGGGTTCTTGCGCGGACGATCAACGGTAACGCAACTTTTGGAGGTTTATCACAACATCATAGAAACCGTTGCATCGGGAAGGGAAGTAGATATCATTTACTTAGATCTATCTAAAGCCTTCGACAAGGTCCCACATAGTTTACTACTTTTAAAACTGAACAGTTATGGCATCTCAGGATCTCTTCTCTCGTGGTTTAGCAGCTATCTCACGGACAGATATCAAAGAGTTGTTCTTGATGGTGTTTATTCTGGCTTCCAATAACATCCGGTGTCCCCCAAGGTTCCATACTTGGTCCTCTCTTGTTCCTCGTCTACGTCAACGATCTCCCCAGCTACATCAATTCCCAATCAACCATTGCCCTGTTTGCCGATGACTCCAAACTTTATAAACCCATCAACCTTCCTGACTCAACCCTTCGCCTCCAAAACGACCTGAATAACCTTCATAAATGGAGTCTCGACTGGGCGATGAAGTTTAACAAATCTAAATGTCAAGCACTACGGGTCTCGAGAAAGAAGACGAAGATTGTATCTCAGTACTATTTGGACGGTCAACCTCTGGAATGTGTTCCATACGTCAAAGATCTTGGTGTGACTGTATGCAGTGACATGTCCTGGTCAAGACACATAGAAGAAACGGTGGCCAAAGCCAACAGAACACTCGGACTTGTCAAACGAACTTGCAAGGATACCCACGACCAAAGAGTGAGAAAATTACTATTCTGCGCTCTCGTGAGGCCCATTCTAGAATATGCCAGCAGCTTATGGTCACCTTATACCATCAAGCATAAGAGACTAGTCGAAAATGTCCAGCGGAGGGCAACAAAGTTTATTCTTGACTATCCACAGGACCTAACGTATGCCGACAGACTCGCGAAGATCAAGATTCTCCCTCTTGAGTTCAGAAGAGATATCTCAGACTTATGCCTACTTTTTAAATCTAGAACTGGAGCAATTACTACTGATGTGAACAAATATATATGTACTTTTGAACCTGGATACCAATCAAGAAATTATGATAAAAACAACTATAATCTTATAATTAAACACAAGCAGGACTATTTTAGAAATTCTTTTTTCATTAGAACGGTTGAACTATGGAACACTCTACCGTCTCTTGTCAAATCCTCCAATTCTTTAAGTATTTTCAAGTCTCATCTTCATAAGTTGTATTCTACTAAGTTATCGCATTACGTACCTCCGGGCACTGCGTGATCAGCGTCTACACATTGCGATTTGTTGAACCATCATCCGGCCATTCTCATCATATTTACAAATATGTTATAAATTGACTCGTGATTTCCAAATTGATTTTGAAAATTCATAATAGTAATCTGCATAGTGGGCAAGTCGCAGTGTGTAAACGTTCAGTACTTTTATAGTCACGATTCAAACCTTAGCTAGTATAAGTTGTTATAACTAATGTGTTATAACCTGTTCTTTATCTTTATTTATATTTAACGTCTTTTTAGGGGTTAGGTGTCAATTGGGACGAGAGTCCTGTTCCTTTCCCCTGTCACGATTTGTATCTGTCTTTATTTGTCTTTAATTAATTAGTTTGTATCGTGTATAAAGTGACACTAGCCCTAAAACATATTTTCAACCGCTCATAACTCCAGACGAGTTGGAAAATCAAAGTAACTGCTTAAATGTCTTATATACAGTGTTTTGTAAGCTTTGTAATGACGTATGTCATTTTTGCTATATGTGAACCTGCAATTTCGCAATTTCGCAATTTCACAATTAATAAGAGAATATAAGAAAACTTAAATTTTATGCGGTCAGCATCAATTTTGGTGATGCCTCCATATCTAAGATTCATTATCATGTTAAAGTCTACAGTTCCTGTAAATTTGGTGCTTTCTTCACAAAGTGCATGATTTTCTCTAATATCTGTGCATATCCGCTGGACTAAGTATATCTATTGAATATGTAGTCGTGTTTGAATCCGTTTAATAAACTCGCAGGTCGTAATTTATTAGGTCTAAAGCCACTCGCGCTGCGCACTCGTGGCTTTAAACATAATAAAACACTCCTGTTCGTTTATTAAACAGTACCTAATCAGCGATCATATACAAATTAAGATTCTTAAGTTTGTACAATTTTTGGAAACACATATATTTATGTCTTATCAAAGAGATCGCTTGAGTGCACCATGAAAAATTAGCATAGTGTTAGTTTTTGCTGTTGGTATAATTCAGTATTATAAGTATTGCGTTTCCTAATGAGTGAACGAAGGGAGAAAAGAATGGGACTACAAGTGATATGACTTCGTCTTTACCGTGCTGGGGACCAGATTTTCAAACTAGGTACCCCATTTAAAAAAGGTCAAATCTGGCGCCCTTCAACGGTTGTCATAGGAACACTCTTATTATGATACTCCGGTGACTTTTTAACACCTAACATAACTAAAAAATTAGGAAGGGTCTATCCCCTCAGGATTCGTATTGGGTGGGAATCATATATTTCTCCCTTCGTTCACTGATATATCCCCAATTATACTATCAGGCTCATCAACCTTTGTATAATTGGAATTATATTTGATGAACTCCGGTCGAAATATATTAGACTACAAGTTGTAGATTTTACGACAAAAACGCCATAACCAACCTGAAAATGTTATTGACAACCTTGACAAAAAACAAATATCAACATGAACCAAAAAATACTATTTTTCAACCTCGTTCCCAGGGCTTTTCCCTTTTTATCATTGGGAAGGCGGGAAAAGACATGGCATCGGCCGGTCACATGACTTTCAACACCCAGATATAGTGGGTGTAATAAATTATAACAAGACGCCTACTCGGGCGTTCACTCCGCCTGCCGGCCTGTGGAGAAAATGGGGACAATGTAGGGTGCGACAGAAAAGTGAAGCCAAATATCAGCCGAAGTGGTGACGTTTGGCTAATGCTGACGCCACTACACGTCTTAATTAACGCGTGCGTGGGGGTGGGGGGTGGGGGGGGGCTGAAGCTGACGTCTAAACTGGCTGTGATGGCGTGCAAGGAGCCTGAAACTGACGTCCTAATGTCCAAACTTTACATTGAGTTTTCATAAGAAAGTGCCATAACCTATAAGAGACAGAAATAGGATATTAATTCTGACACACCAATTCTGTATGGCCCATCATTGTAATAATAGAGGCTCAAAAAGCATGTTTGAGTGGCTTGGTAGGTATTCTGCCCAGAGTCCTAGTAGGGTTGAATTAAATACATTACACAACACATAGTATCTATTAATGCATGAGTCAATTCCTGGAGTAACCATCCCCCCCTCCGGGACACCCCCGGGAATTTGCCCGATAGACAGTTCACGGGGGTCGGGAATTTGCCTTTCATATATGTGCACGGGGGCCAGGTATTGGAGGACCCCGGGGATTTGACAAATGGTTGACCAAAATCCCACCCACAAATTTTAAGGCAGCAAAACCTAGTTCCAGGCATGCATGTGGGCGCGCTGATCGTATTTTGCGCCCTCGTGGTCAAGGTGGCGTGAAATTTATTGTAAGAATAAGCATTAAAGGTTTATGTTTTATAATATTCCAACATATAACAACTATTAAAGGTTTATACAACAACTATTATACTACAAGGTTTATACTACGATATAACAACTATTAAAGGTTTATGTTTTATAATATTCCATAGCAGTTTAGTACTCTAATGCTATTAAATGACTATGATTATATGCCATTAAAAGTTTAATTAACGTTTACAGTCGATTTCACGAAACTTTGACCACAAATTTTCCGAACTTCGTTGCGAAGTTCACAAGATTGTTGCGAAGTTCAAAAGTTCATAATGAGATTCACAAACCAGTTCGTAAACTACGCATAACGCATTTAATTGGCTTCTTTTACTTCAGGGACCAATTAGGGACTTTGTTTACAACTTGGCTTGTGATTCCAATATGAGCTTCCAAACTTTTCAACGAACTTCGCAACGAAGTTCGGAACATTTTTGGCAAAGTTTTGTGAAATCGACTATGAAATCGTCCCCGGGGTGAGGCATTTTCCACTCTCAGCTTGCCCAGGGGTCGTGTATTAGTCTTCAAGTTGTGTCCCGGCACCCGGGCATTTACACTATCATAACCAATTAAATCAAATGCCCAGATGTGTTCCAGGGGGGGGGGGGGGTTACTCCTGGAATTGACTCATGCATATTAAACACACAAGGGCAGTAGAAAGAGCAAAGCAAGCAAACCCAAGCTGGCTGTGAGTTCAAGAAGCTGACGTTTCTGTTATTTGTTAACATGACTATATATCATAGATTATATTCTTGTGTTGCAATCAATCCCTTGAGAATTAAAAGAATGTGCGAAATTCAGTAAAAAATAATCTTTGTCTTAATACTACCACATGGCTGCCGTTTCCGGTAGTTGCGTACTAAACGTGTATAGTAAATTATAAACACGACAGCTTCAATACTACATTTCCTAAACTCTTCAAAACATTGAAATATATTTAATAACCCGATAGCCTCAACACTACATAGCCTATTAAACTCTTCAGAACATTGTAGGGACCTTTCACACAAGAATATATTTTGCTAGTCAAGAATATAAGATCGACATTACGACATACAGTAGGAGTGAATATTTATATTTATGACTTTAAAGAATTTCTTGTTGCCAAAATGCAGCATGTACTACCAAAATTAGAATGTTTAGTATTCCTTACCTCAGTTTAGTCTGGAAGCTTTGTCTTGACATTCATCTTTTTAGTATTTTTCATCGCACAAGACCGTTTCGCAGTTCGCAGTTTAGAAAAATACTGTAAGCAGACAGTATCCACAAATGTCAATAGAAAGTATCTAAATATCATGGAATGTACACATTTATCAAGGAGCCTGTTTGTGACACTGACGACAGTCGACAGTCGACAGTCGACAACCGACAACAGACTCAGGCATTTTTAGACTCCGCACTGCGCATGCGCAGGCGGAGTAATAATGAATTAGAAAATCCAAGATGGCCGCCAACCTAAGAGGGTCCACAAAATTTAAGTGCTTAGAGCGGCTTAAAAATGCGTTTAGTTAAAATTTTTCCTTCTTTTTGCTACCAACGTACTCGAAATCAGATTCTTCAGCTTTTATTACCTGGGAACTATGTAGTTGCTGTTCTTCCAACTGGGTTTGGTTGGAATGGTTGGACTATTTATTCATTGATATTTTAAACACAGATGAAGTGTTATATGCTCTTTCCTTGTTTACGTTTTCCTTGCAGCCAAATGTTGTTGAAGCTGGCAAGCTGCAAAACTGACATATGAGTGATATGACCCAAATATTGGATATGCATCTTAGTTTGCTTCCAGTAAAGCGTAAACAAGACCTTAAGAATTCTATACGAGATAAGAAATATTCCGTTTGAAATCCTGACCGGCAAATTAGCATGTGCGAATTGATGCTTCCTAATAATAGTATGTATTCCAGTAAAGCTTGCTTGCTTCAATTCTTGCTGTTACCATCTGCACATTATCAGGGTGGAGAGTTGATTTGAATTTTTTGTCCCAGGGGATAAAGGTAGGGAATAGATTTTCCATCACAAAAGGGGCAAGGTGCCCAACCAGTTAGACATGTACTTTAAGTGACCATTCATTATACCCTATGGTGGGGTGGGAGATTCTTATGTCAAAATGTCATGGGACCCCTTTTTAATCTCTTAATTTAATATTGGAGACCCCTCCTAAATATTTAAGACTATATAACATGATGAAATTCTAATCTTCATTCATGTGAATGCCTGACTATGAAGAAAATACATTTTGCAACACAGGGATGGATCCAGCATGATCTGGTAGGGAGGGGGGTGGGGCTCTGCCAGCTCTGGTGCCGAGTTGTGTTGGTCATGTGTGCCGCCCGCCCATCAACTTGCTTCACTACTGCAAAGTCTTGCTTTACTACTGTATTTGAATTGTAATTGTTGTTCACAGCTCACTTATCATCATGTTATTACTCAAATTACTGTATCTCATTTTGCCTGTAATAATTTTTTGCTTTATCATGAAAAATAGAACCCCCTGCACCCCCTCTGGCCAGGGCTAGGGGAGTGCACAGCCCCCCCCCCCCAGTAAATCCATCCCTGTTGCAACATACACTACAAGAGCTAGAATGATTGCTTCCTTTGGATGATTTGTCTTAGAATTATATTACCTATATTACAACAATTCTTCCTATTCTGAAACCAGTTGCTATTCTGTTTTTTACAACACTCACCCCCCCCCCCCCAAAAAAAAACTCAACAAATCAAGGACCCCCTCCAAGGCAATTTTGCCAGCAAAATAGATTAAATTTGATGGTAATTGTTCTGAGAATATATTAACTCATTGAGTGGCAGCATTCTGCCTAGACTTGCCACAAGTCGACCTCAAACGAAACGCAAGCAGCGAGTGTGAGCCAACGTTTCGTTCGAGGTCGACTTGTGGCAAGTCTACATTCTGCCCTTGAGTAAAATTGTCTGGCACCAGATGGAGTAATATACTAAAGTAGGGACATTGCCACTATAAAGGGTTAAACAAATTTTAAAAAAATTTGCAATGGTCTATATTCAAAAAGCTCAATTTGTAAATTTTAATTGACTTTAATTCAATTAATATAACTACTTATACTTATAGCTACCTTGCCCCAGTCACTTCAAGTGAATTCTACGGGAGGAGGGGGACATTGAAAATCCCTGGGTTTACTTGGTAAAAGCAAGAATTGAACCATGCATTACATGTATATGGAGAGCAGTTTTAAATATATTTTATCATGCAAATACCTTGATAATTGTTCTTAAACGTCTTTGGCTTAGAATGGGTACACCCTCCAAAGGTGTTTATTTACAGGGTCCAAAGGTGTAAATATACACTGTCCGACGTGTTAATATAAACAACAAAAACAATGTATATAATTAAATTTTATTAAATAAAATGTGGAATATTTTACAAATTGCATTACCATCCCAAAGTGTACATAATTTATCAATATAATTAGGACTTAGAAGCTGTTCACATGAGTTTGACTCTGACCCAGCACCCTTGGCTTAGCTCCCCTTGCCCGATCACAAGTAGAAAACCTCCAACCCCCAGCTCTGACAAATCAGTCCAGATCTGCCAAGAGGCAGGATTTTCTGGAATATTTTTAGCAGTGAAATTGTTGCATATTTTCAAGCATGCATTGTAACCTGATTTTAAAGCCTGTTGGAACATCAGAAATTGTGGCAATGGCAAGATTGTCCAGCCATATGAATACAATCTTAAAATATCATAAAAACAATGCAATTTAAGGCCAGGCAGCCCAACTCCTGCGAACAGCCCTTTATTACATATTTGAAGCATCTCTTGAGGCATCAAAGTACTGTACATGCAGGCACATGGAATTACATACGAGTATGTGACATAAGCCCACCATTGCACAACCCTGTCTGCAACAATGCAAATACAACAAATGCCAATACAATCAAGCTGGAGACGGATTTTATTAGTATTTTTATATATACATTATGGCTCATGTCTAAAGACACCTGCACTTTCATATTGAAATTGTTCTAATATCATCCAAACAAAACACATCAGAAAACTGTAACATCAGCGAAATGAGCAAATCACTTTTTTAACACAATTTATGGTAAAATAAGCAACATGTAATAGTATCTGAAACAAAACCAAATCACATATTATTCAAAAGTTGTAAACACTGTTGCATATATGATATAACAAAATATCGTCGCATTTCTAGTGGTAACTAACTATAAATTATGCCAATTTGAACTCGACTACGAAGAATATCAAAAACTAAAGGTCATGTTTCAGTTTTATAAACCCGGACTTTAGTTTTATAAATATAAACATTATAAACGCTATACGAAGCTAAATATGAAGGCTCATTTTGCCCTAAATACTCGGTTAGAGCCTCAGAGGTGTGTTCTAGTACACAATTAATCTTCTCTCACAGTTTAAAACAAACAATAATACTAACCTTCGACAGATTGTGTATAAATCTTATCGAATTTAACCATTTTGCCACAGATTTTGCCAAAAATATTTCTTTGACGGACAAAGTATTAATAATGGACACTCCTTGCGTGAAAATGTTAATTTATCCCAAAGTTTGAATAAATTAATCCAAGATTGCATTATTTGCATAATAATGTATTTTCATTGACCAATCAGAATACATAGAACACCGGCCGGTGCCAGGGCCTTTTCCCGCCTTCCCAATGACAAAAAGGGAAAAGCACTGGGAACGAGGTTGACTATTTTTGTTTATGTGCAAGAACTGCACGACCAAATTAAAGTTGTAAACTTATATTTATGATTTTTCTATGTTGGTGTATTGTACTCAGGTGAATATGATGCTTGTGATGTTACTCTGAGTATATATCCACACTGGGCGACCTTGATAAAGATGCCCGGCCACGGTGGGAATCGATCTACGACCTTTCAAATACTAGCCCAATGCACTGCCAACTGAGCTACGCGGTCAGGTCGTTTCGAGTGTGTGTGCGTTCAGGTCGGTTAGAATGTATTTATGTTTTTGTGCAAGAATTGCACCACCAAAGTTTGTGTTTGCCACTGGTCTATAGTAGTATTCCTGGAATGTTGATGCATTGGACCAATCAACCATCTTCAAGATTTATTCAATAGGCACGGAAGCATAAGCTGTTGCGGAGGATGAAGCATCATTTAAAATAGAGGTTTCGACAGTAGCTTCAGCCAGCATCTCCCGAATCCATCTATCTATGGTGGAAGGAGACAGGGACGTCGCTGTAGGGTGGGGTGGGGGGAGGGGGCGGGGCGGGGGGGGTGTAACATACCCACAATAATTCAAACGTTGGTCAAACTTGGTCAAAATGGAACAGGTATTTGCCCAAAGTTGGTCAAAATGGAATTGTTATTTGCTTAAAATTGAAGGTAAAACTCGGAAAAATTTGGGCAAAGTTTGGCATAAAAGATGGTCGAGTTGCTGAAAGTTATGAAATTGTTGGCAATTTTAACAATTTAAAGCTTTTGTTATGTTTGCGGTTAAAAAAATGGAAGCTTTTCTTATCTTGGTGGGAAAATATTCAATTTGCCTATGTTAGTTATGAAAATTTTTTTTGACTATGCTTATGTTAGTCCCGAAAATATTTTTTTTGACATTTTCCCCCAACAGCATTTTCGGGAAAAATTTGTACTACTTGGTCAAACCTCTAGGAAATGTTGGTCAAAACATGACGACTTCAATGTTGTTGGCTTCGCGACGCCCCTGGATGGAGAATCTGGACGATGAGGTTTGATGCATGTACGAGACAAGTAAGCTTTTAGCCTCACTCTCCGGTGTCGTCCGGAGTGTAGCCGTGGACGCTATGTACAGCTTAAAACAGGTAACATGACATAGCTTTGTATCTTCTGTGAATATGGGAACAATGGCCGAGATTGGTTCCTCATGTCCAGTAGTTTCAGTTTTAAACAATATAAACGTGAGTCCTTCTGGTACCAGCCGATAACGATTCAAGTCCAAGTGTGCCAGAGAAGGAACTCTCTGAGGGAATGTAATGGCAAATATGGTAGCCAATTTACAAGAAAAACGTTTCAAGTGAAGTTCAAAGTTATCCTCCATTTTAACCAAGTGGGAAGTCACGGTAGATGTGTCCCAAGTCACGGAATATCTGGGTTCGGGAGAAAAGGGAGCTTTGGACGATAATCCGTCTCAAGAATCTATCACAAAGAGATGCTGTCCCACTGGAGAACCAAAAAGCTTGGGGTGGGTAACAGAAAGTACACACCTTAGGACATTGAGAAATCAATACTGATGACCATCATCAAACGAGTCTGATAAAAAGGTAACAAAGAAGGAGTAGAAGCCACCAAGGTTTGGTTGCCAATCAATACAATTTCTGTTTTGTCGGTCACTAACTTGTTAAATCTCGATATCGGATTGAATAATGGAAAGGAATGCATTTCCCATCCGAGTGGACATTTTGAAATCTAGCCTCCAGCTGATGTAGGTTTGGAGCTGGTGAGTTATTCCCGTGGCAAAAAGGTCTGTTTGACAATGCTTAATTAAGAAATGATCTTCTAAAGCTGCAAAAATCTAGCATCCAATCAGTGATGTCACAAAGAGTTGGGACGTTGGGAAGTCGAACAGTCTACAAGACTGTTCGACTTTTCTGGGATATGATGTACTACTAAAAATAGGTCTCTCTTTCACACAACCAGGTGAATAATGCGAGGGGTGATATTCAAACCGAAGGAGAGAGCTTGAAATTTGTTTTCCCAAATAAAGCGTAGCAACGTTGGAGATTCTAGGTGGACTGCTCCTGAAAAGTAAGCATCTTTTATGTCTAGTTTTGTCATGAAGTGACTAGTTTTAAGAGAGCCTTTATTACTGAAAGATGTTCCATTTGGAAATGGGAAATTTTAACTGATTAAGAGAGCTGAGGTCCATCATAGGGTGCATGGTGCCGCTTTTATTGGAGACTAAAAACAGACTGTTGTAAAAGTCATCATTTGTTAGTGCCACTTGACGAACGGCTCACATGTTCAGAAGCCTTTGAATTTCTGCCTTAGAATTGCAGTTCACTCCCGTAACAACTGTGTAATTGGAGGAGTTTTTTTTTTTAAATGGAACGCGACAAAAGCAGATTTTAAAACGTGACACAATGTTTAATATTTCACGACCCGAAATCAGTTCCTTCAACTGTTTCATGTGCTTTGCGAGTTGGGCTGCGGTGTGTAGGACAACCGAGGGTTTGGAAAGATATTTTGCTTCAGACGAGGAAACTGAAATTTCTGGTATTTTGATTTATTGTACACTGAGTGGTTAAATTTTGCAAATCTGGGGCTTTGCGGTTTGGGCCTAGTGAAAACTGGTGCTAGTGTTTTGCTAAGCAACGTGGAAGTTGTTTTAAAGCAATGGATGCCAAATACCATCACCAAATAACAGCTTTTCTGCATTGTGAGGGGGTTGGTTGGCCAAATCGAACTTTCCCTTGTTAATATAAGCAAGGACGTTTTTGCGGCGGGGTGGGTGGCAAATGTTTATTGACAGTTATCTTCAAATTTACAAGATTCGCAGGTGAATTGTTTTCAGGCTGATCATGTAGCGTTCAGAATTGCACTGTCACGTTAAGTAAGGCCAACTCTTTTTCTTGTTCTTGGGCGAATTTCTAATTGTTTTGGAGAATGCGATGAGCCACTGACGAATCAAGTGTTGGGGCCACAAGGGCCTCGATTGAGAAACTGATTGAGTTTCTAAAATTTCACAAACCTGATCATAAGTCAATTCTCTTTGAAATTTTTCTCAAGAACTGAGGTAAATACTTCCGAAGGTGTCCATGTGATGGCTAGATCATCACTCTCGTACAAATGTGAGACATGATACTCGTTAGTGGGATACACAAGTTGTGGATCAGTTTCTTTTCTAGGTATATCTATATCTGGTGACTCATGAGTCATTTCTGCTTTTTAATAGTCAAGTCTGGTGGCCCAATTGCCAGATGTGGTGGCTTAAAGCCATACTTGTTGTCGTTGGGTCATTTCTCTGACTGATAGTGAGTCGTCTTCGTATTCGGCGTCGACAAGGAAATGGGTGTTTTCAGAGGCTGTTTCACACGAGTGAGTTTCAAGAGCAGTAATCCAGGAGTTGGAAATCGACATGTCTGCCTTTCAATGCGTAACAGGTTGTAGAATTTGACGAATAATTTCATCGTTTTCGTCAAGTTGGTCGTTGCCTCAGTTTCGGGTTGTTTGGACGACTTGCTCGTCGATGCATGATTTTTCTCCCGAATGGGAATGTTTACGAGGGCGATTGCTGCGCATAGTTAAGCTCGATGCTGTTTGAGCTAAAATAATTATATAGCTATAAAAGGAATGTAAAAATGATACAGTTTTACAGTAATTAATCACTTGTCTGCTCATGTCTGAAGCACAAGATCAGGGGCGGATCCAGCCAATAATCTGACCGTATCATTTGGAAAGACCTCGCATTGCTAGGGGGGTCCGGGGGCATGCCCCCCCGAAAAATTTTTGAAATTTGAAGCCCGGAAACGCCATTTCCTGCGTTCTGAGCGGCGTATTTCGTCCTCAAATTTCGGTCCTCAACAAATAAACATTTTAGACAAAAGTAACGAAAAACAAAGTTTCGTTTTATTCCAATTGCAATACACTGCAGCTTTGTTCATATGGACGGTGAAGCATTTGCTTTTGGAGTTTTGGTGGTTGTGATATTAAACATCAACAGTTTGAGTTGGATAGTAAGATTGACTTGTAAGCCAATTACCGTCGCTAAAGGAAACATCAAGAATTCGTAATTATGCGCATTATGCATTGCTTCTTCAGTAGGCTAACTGCTGCTGTATGATCATATTTTCGAAAACTGACATGGCAGTATCAGACAAGCACTTTGCAAAGGCAATTTTAAGCCAAGTGAACGCTCCATTCTCATCTGCGAATTAACTACGGGATGACCGGCATAGTATGGAGCATGTTCATGCAAGTCAGTACTGGGTGTATCATAAAAAGTAGACAATTTTGAAACGGCTCTCAATTTCATAAATCCGATGTCATTAAATATTTGATAAATATAGATTGTTTGGGTACTTATAATGTAGAATAATCAAGAAATTTTCCTAAAGATTAATTTTCCAAAGCAGGGGACGTCTTTTTAGCAGCATTAAAAATAGCTTGCTTGTGAAATTTTAAAGGTTAAAATGCATTTTGAGGTCATGGACGAGAAATTTGTTACGTGTTTTATTAAATGGTCCAAATATCAGAAAATTTGCTCAATTTTAAGTCCTTCAAATAGGCGCTGAAACTTTCATTTTTTGGCACCAATGCCTTTCACGCATGCTTAATTAATTCATGCATTTACCTAATTCGTATATTGTTACTTGAATTAATTCACTTTTCTTTACAACACAGTTAAAAAATCTATGTTAACCCATTACAGTATTGTGCAACATCTTTCCAATGATAACTAAAGTTACCCAAGAACCAGACAAAGTAATGTAGCACAGAATGTGGTAGTTTGGTGTGTATTGTGACGTATTACAGTAATTGAGTGAACTATCGTTTATATTTGCTTGCATGGCCAATCTTCACATGGTTCATTTGAGTAACAGCTATATAAGACAATGGGGGAGATGCAGGCTTTTAGCCAGGATCCTAAAAGAGGGCGTCCCATTTGGTACGATACATCTTCAGTAAGGGGGGGGGGGATGGAGAAGTTTATGTTACTTCATATCAGTATCTGTTCCAAGCTCGTTCGAAATTTTTCAAACACACTTGGCTTTGTGAGTACTGAATTTGTGCTGCTATGCTTCTTTACTTAATTATGACATTTTCATTCAGCCAGGTACTCCATCAAATTGATCAAAATGTCAAAAGTATAATAATAATGAGAATTGAAGCTATTTTGTTTCAGATATATTAATATACTTAGGGAAATCATTGCAAATAATTTCCCTTTTCCCCCAAAATTTGGGTGTCCAAAGGCGTCCATTTTTTGTTCTATGGGTGTCCCAGGACGCCTGGACACCCTAGGCAAAAGCCTGGGGTGATGTGGTGACTACCCATATTACCACCCAGTTGTCAGAAATCTTAATTCTTTAACCTATTGAGAGCCAGCACTCTCCCCTTGACAAGTAAAATCATCTGGTGCTAGACAGAGTAAAATAATAAAGTATGGCACTTTAGGCCTCATTAATTTAATTTAATTTAATTTATTAACTTTACCACATTCAAACAATTAACGTTAACACAAAAACTGGTCTACTTACAGGGCAATCGCAACAGCTTGCGCCAATTACTGCGATCCCTCAATGTTAGACAAATACACTATATATGTACATAGAAAAAATCAATTACTAACAAACTATCAGATTCAACTTTTCACATTGTGGCCCGCAGGACCACTTCTAATTAGAGCACACTGCAGCTCAATGAATTAAACTTATATGTATATATATATATATATATATATATATATATATATATATATATATATATATATATATATATATATATATATATATATATATATATATAGCCTACGGTACCAATTTATAGCTTTCAATCAGATGTAAAAATAGAAAAAAAAAATTTTTACAGCTTTGTTACACACATAGTTATTCAATCACCATTTAAAGACTTTCAGGAATTATTTGGGGGAGGGGCTAATTGGCCCCCTTGTATGCACTGATAATAAGAATATTTATATCAGTAATCTGTAGTCTCAGATGATATTTCCCCCATTTCCATGATTGTTTAAGTGCTCATAACTGTAAAAGTGTGGTTGCAACTTGCTTTCAAGTGTTTAAAGGCTCAATGTTATATTGCTCCATAATAGGGCTTTTTGCTTGACAACCTGCCTAAAGCGCCTGATTCACAGTTAGTGATTTTGTTAACGAATTTCTCATCCTGACAGATTCAAATGAGTGGGCTTGCATACAATTGGTTTTCACAAGTATACGTTTCCATGTCTTTTGCATGTTACTCACCCAGTGGTCTCCCCCTTAGCAGGAGAAATATTTGCCGAAAAAGATTTGCTGGTTGAGAACCTGAATTAAGATCATCTCAAAACACGTCTCAATGTGAAGATGGCTCACCTCCATATAAACACATCCTAATTTTATCCAGTAATTATTGACACAATAATTTATAGGATATTCAATATATAAGTTAAACATGCCACCATACTGCATATTATTAATATCACCAAAATATTTACAAATAAAGTAACATTGAATTTGTAAATATTGCATTGCCGGTAATGGTATACGCGCCATATTAAACTAATGCATATATGTCAACCAAACGGTATTGTCGTTGACAATACGAGTCTTTAATTCAAAAATATACCAACCAGACATGCAGTTACATGTAATATTATTTCACATTGTAACTTTATCACAAAGAAATTAAATTAATATATACTAGTGAATCGACTGGATAAATAAAACATTGTTCATGAATCATGATGACATGTTTGCATGATAACATTCGGTGCTCAGCTAATATTTCGCTGTAATATATTCGATCACAATAAATTTACATACACACTTTGCATACAGATACAAGTTATAAATATTAGAAGTCAGATTCAGTCTCACCTTGCAGGTATTAAAGCATAAGCGCAGGTCTATCTTTCTAGACGTTCGTATATGTTTTCTATTCCAACTTCGCTTGCTGTCTTCCCGACCACAATGTTGATTCAACAGTTCCGCTTGAAACTTAGTTTCGTACTAGAAGGCATGCACGAACAATGCACAGTGACAAGTTTCCGAACTGTTCCCGATTTAACCATTTCCATAATATTGCGCAACAAAAACATGGCCACCGTGTCGCACCGTGTCTCACGTGACAAAATCTCGGCCTGTGATTGGCTTGACACGCTCCACCGTGTCAAGAAGTTACTATATTTAGTAACAGCAGAACCGCGGACCGTGTCTCAAAATCGCAGTCGCATTTGACGAACATTTTCCGAACTTAAAATGATCAACTTCGAGTAGTTCTCGGTTATCGTCGTGGCAAACATTTAATATCCAGCAAGTGCGGGGTTTTCCCAGTGGGTTTTCCCAATGTTTTGAACCTTTTACAGCACAGGAATTACATCTTTTGAGATATTTACGTTTTTATGTCGCGATTTTGTAATTTTGTTTGAAAAAACCCAGTAATACGTAACGCTGGAGCAGGAGTATATATCTGTTTGAAGTTTTAATGTTTGGGACATTTATACGTATAAATAACGATCGCTTCCGTCCTTATAGACCAATTTAGAAAATATGACGATCTCAAAAATCTGACCGTGTCTCAAGCCACGCTTGCTACCCCCTGGATCCGCCCCTGAAGATAAAAAGTCACTGGAGCATCATTGGAAGAGTGTTCCTACGACAACCGTTAAAGGGCGCGAGATTTGAAATGGTCGAATTACCCTAGTGTTAAAATGCGGCCCGAAGAAAGGAAAAGACGAAGTCATACCACTTGTTGTCTCATATATTTCGACTGGAGTTTATGAAACATATTTGTTAAATATCACGTGCGTGCGTTGGTCTGGTTGTAATAGTTGGTAATAAGTGTGATAATGTTGGTAATTGTTTTATTATAAATATTACAATCGGGAAAGATACAGAAAACAAAATATTTAAAGAGAATTAAATAATAAATACTCGCCCAAGATTGTTTGGCTTTGTTTTCATGATCTGTTTGTTTTCGGACAAGAATTTTGACAATTCCCTGTGTTTCGGGTGGAAGATTTCGTTCGCTTTTATACAACCTTTCGACCGCACTGGCGACCGTGCTCCGAAGTTCCACACGATAGCAATATTGTGACAGTTGCTGTATATATTGAGACTTATAGCAAGGGGTTGTTGACAAATCAGGAACTAGAATAAAATATGAATGTATAATGAATAAATTAGGTAATTTAACCGGTAAATAACTTTGAGAATAAATTCATACACATTTCCTTTCACAGTAAATCTGCAAGTTAGCACTTATTGGTAGATACATTACACTGATACTTTAATCGGTAAATTGAAAGACAGTAATTCTGAGCATATATATAACAATGATCGTCATAATTATTTTGTTCACTCCTTGTTAGGTCAATCAAAACCATTTCCTGTCTTTTGCAACATGGAAGCTGGAGGTAATTATCCGTCTCGGCAGCCCAGATAGGCCTACGAGATACAAACGTCCTGCTGAGCAGTTATTTATTGATTTATTTATACAAGATAATAATATTAGTGAATAAAATTGAAGATGGCGAAGGCTATTTACGCCAATTTCGTATTTTGAAAATGTAGGCCTAGGTATATTTTTCGTTCTAAATTGTACATGCAACCCAGCAATCATTGTCGGAAAGAAAACGATCATTTGTAGTTGTAGAACAACAATAATTCCACTAGAACCGTCTCGAGACGCAGCGGATGAGTAAGAAGGTAGAAATCTGCAATTTGCACTTCGACTTGGTATATGATCGAACTCCTTCGTTTTATAGAGTATTTTAAAATGTGCCGGCACAAATGCAAAACGGGTCTGTGAGCGACGATTGCCTGTGCCTGCGCGACGTGTGTCTGTGCCACTGTGCCAATGAACTTACGAGATTGATCGTTTTGAAGCTATTTAAAACATTCGCAGTGAGTGTTTTATCAGACCTGAAGATATTCCGCTTCGTCTCGCATCTTTATATCTGTTAAAACACTGCTGCTCATGTTTTAAAGAGCACTTAAACTATTTAACTTAATAATCTTTGGAATAAAATCAGTTCGAATCAGACAGTTTGGCTCTTGTAAATCCAATTTTTTTATATTTATTGAATTTACAGGCTGGACTTTGGTATTTAAGCTCATAGCGGGAATCTCTGGAGGACCAGCAAAAACTTGGAGAATGCCGTTCCCAACCTACGAATACTCGCTGGCAGCTCTTAATACAAATAATGATTTTAAACATCATTACAAAAACCGTCTTGTTCAAAACTGGAGTGTGTTCAAGCCATCGGAGGTATGACTGAACCGATATATATATATATATATATATATATATATATATATATATATATATATATATATATATATATATATATATATATATATATATATATATATATTGTTAGTATTTATTGAAATATATAGTTTTTGTTCCATTATGACCATTTGTTTAAATTTAATAGCGTTTTAGCGTTTTTAAAAGCCTGTTAAATCGAGGATTGAGTGGCTTTATTCTTTAAAAGATACTTTTATCATCATATTTTTACATTAACTTATTAATATAATGTGTAACAAGTGAACAGACACTTCCGGGCCTGGACAAGTGGACATGACGAATCCTTGATGAGCAGCGTGGCGATCAAAATGACGTATAAAAATACAGGGAATTTTTAAAATATTGTTTGTATAAATGACATAGGGAAACTCATCAAATATTTGGACTACGGACCTTCAAATATATGCCAAGTATTTATCTGATTCATTAGCTGAATAACTGTTTCTTCGCTCGTTTTAAATTTTCGTCAATTTGGATATTTGGTCGATCTCATGATAGATAGATACTGTAATTTGTCAACATTGTGTTGCAGCTTGTAGACATGAATATTTTCGTTTGCGGTCTGACAATAACACTTCTCTTCATTGTTTCTAATCCTTGAATAACAACTTATTCCTTGGTCTCGGAGTCCTAACTTAAGAAATGTGGATGACTTTGGTTGGAACATGTTCAATGTTTGTGTTCAGATATCAAAATTTATGTCCAAGTGAACTTCGTTGTGTACACTTCATCTGGCTCACTAGTCACAATTGGGTCAAATGGTGTATTATAACACGATTTTTGGTCTAGTGAGCTGGTTGGGACAGCTTATGACCTTTAGTGTGAGACGACCAGTGCAGGATATCAAGACTTGCTCAAGAAGAAGCTGGACCAGTCTGGATTGTGTGGATCCAATCTCAAAAATATACGAAATTAATATATGAGGTAGGGCAGGTATATATTTAGCCCATATGAATGGGCAAGAAAAGATTGCTCTGTGTAATATCATACTACAGTACCTGGTTTATTCTACAAGATTATTTCTAAAATGTTCCGATTGTAGTTTCAGGATATGTTAAGGGTCTGTTTATACGATATGGGCTTGGCAACATTGAACCCTGAAGGCAAGTTCATGGCACGCGCATTGTTGGGATAGCGTGCTTACTGTATATGGTGAATTTTTGGCTTGCATAGTTGGGCTTGTGGCAACGGATTCTTCGTGCTTAAATTAAGCAGTATATTAACAGGATAGGATATCAACAATACAGGCAAATGTCGTCTCTTCCTAACCAGGTCATAAGAACAGGTCCAAATTGTGACTAGTGAGCCATAATATAAGTAAGAAACAATGAGCGTTCTATGTCCATAATTTTTTATATTTGAACAGAATTTTGACATCTGTCCCAAAGACATCGATCGATGACGAATCATGTCTCCACTTACTGTGCGTGCCCTTTTGAATGCGCCATTTTGAATTTTGGCCAGGAGTGCAAACTACAAAGTATAAACAAAGCTAAAACTACGTTTTCGTCATCAAAACGTTTTGTCTTGTTGTCTTATTTGTAGTTTGAGGATAGATCTTGAGTTCCTTGAAGGCACAAACTGTCAAAGCAAAATGTGCAGTTACAAAACGGTGGAAATCGTGCAGCCTTGTAAAAAAACAAAGTACCTGTAGTTTCGCGGAAATATAATTTACTCATAAAACATTTTTGTTTCTCGACGCAAGCTTCTCGACTTTTGCTAATATCTTATAAGATTACAAAATGATAGTTCTTTCTTCGTCAGGTGACGTTTTTCTTCAATGTATACGAAGTGTTTTCATGTTCTTGAAACAAAAATATTTAGTTGTCGATATTAAACAGTAAATTGCCTAAAAATAATCGTCGAAAACTATGGTTTCAAAAGCGTTACCTCAACTCTCAAGCTCAAGCAACGTAGAAAATATGAAACGTGATTGTGTATATTTTGTATATTTTTACATTAACTTATTAATATACTGTGTAAGAAGTGAACAGGCACTTCCTGGCCTGGACAAGTTGACATGACGAATCCTTGATGAGCAGCGTGGCGATCAAAATGGCGTATAAAAATACAGGGAATTTTTAAAATTTTGTTTGTATAAATGACATAAAGAAACTCATCAAATATTTGGACTACGGACCTTCAAATCTATGCCAAGTATCTATCTGATTCATTAGTTGAATAACTGCTTCTTCGCTCGTTTGTCGTCGATTTGGGTATTTGGTCGATCTCAGGATAGATAGATACTGTAATTTGTCAACATTGTGTTGCAGCCTGTAGACATGAATATTTTCGTTTGTTTGACAATAACACTTCTCTTCATTGTTTCTAATCCTTGAATAACAACTTATTCCTTGGTCTCGGAGTCCTAACTAAAGGAAGGTGGATGACTTTGGTTGGAACATGTTCAATGTTCGTGTTCAGATATCAAAATTTATGTCCAAGTGAACTTCGTTGTGTTCACTTCATCTGGCTCACTAGTCACAATCGGGCCAAATGGTGTATTATAACACATTTTTGGTTTCAAAAGCGTTGCCTCAACTCTCAAGCTCAAGCAACGTAGAAAAATATGAAAAGTGATTGTGTTTATTCTGCATGTATTCTGTCCAGAACTGTTACTTTTCGTAAAAAAGCCCACTGTAATGGGTTTCTAGACACTTTTACTTCTTTACAAACCGTTCTTCTCCGTTGAAGTCTCGATATAAAATTGTTGCCAACTTTTCAGTTGAAAACAACAATTCGCACTCCCTGCAACCGCGTGAAATTCCCCGCCTCAGGAGTCTTGGCTTCGATTACTTTTGTTTTATTTGCCTTGATCGCGTTAAGAGAGTTATTTTTCAAGCCGCCTGGTGGATAGCCAAAAGAGTTAACATTAACGTCTGTATGGTTATTTGACAAAATTTCAGCTAGTTAAAGATTGTCAGTTTGGCTTTCGCAAATTTCAATCAACAGGTACAGCGTTACTAGACTGTACTAATATTTGGTATATGAATATTGACAAATAATTATTTAACTTAGTTGTATTAATTGACTTAAAAAAAGCATTTGTTACTGTCGACCACCAGATTTTGCTAAAAACACTCGGACTTTATGGCATAAAAGGAGATGCTTTGGCTTTACTAAAATCGTACTTGATGAATCGCACTCAGAAATGCCAAGTAAATGGAACTATTTCATCGGAGCGGTTTATTAAGTGTGGTGTTCCACAAGACTCTATTTAGGGCCATTATTCTTTTTATTATATATTAATGACTTGCCTCAGTGTCTAAACAAATGAAAACCTCGACTGTTTGCTGATGATACAAACCTAACAGCTGCGGGAGAATCTCTAAATGATGTTGAAGCTGCAATGAATTCTGATTTAGAAAACTTTAGGAAATAGTCCACATGTTGTGGCACAAAAAAGTTCAGTTTTATTAAGCACGTCTTAGATCTGAGAATTTTTTTCAAAACTTACCATTTTCGATCACGCTGATTCCGAATCTGAAGAGTTCCCAAGTCGTACACCCCCAGTCTTTTTGTATTTTCCATTTTAAACCACCATTCATGGAAAACAACTTGCGCCATCTTTAATTTATACCGTAGCCTTTTACAAAATTCCATACATGGCCAGAAATGGAGGACATCAAGCGGTCGGGCGTGCGGGCTCATGTTTTCTTGATAATTCAATGCACCGTACAGATCAGTGGTTCGGTTTTGGCAAAATGGCTGTTTATTTTTACTAGTATAGCTCAGTGAGTTTTACCGAGAACTAAATAATCTGAGCACGGCAGATTTATAAATTGAAAATAAGAAGAGATAAGGTAATGAATGGCTTTCAACACATAATTTCCATTGCAAACAAGTATACATAGGGCGCAAAGCCAAAGGCGGAATATCCGACATTGCAAATACAACCAGATATATAAAAAACAAGCAAAATTATAAAATATAACAAACTTTACGCCAACCGAGTCTTGATCGATGCTCAAATTTCAAAAGTCTACCAATGCTCAATAGTTATAAATGTTTTGAAGTCGGCAAATCAAAATTATTACGAAATCCCGCGAATTTTAGAATGTTTACGAGACTACAGCCTAAGTTGACAGCGGTTAAAACCATTGTAACGTAGCAACAGCTTTATAAAAGCAATGGCGGACAACAAATATAACTCTTGGTGCGAAATTTGTGATATTTTTGTTCAAAATACGGTGCATTTCTCATCACAATTGGAAAGACACCTCTCTACAAAATACATGCAATTCATCGCTTTGTGGAACATACTAGTGTATACTTTTACGCTTCATACAAGTGACAATAATAAAGAGGAATACTGTACGAAGCAATTCAGATATGCACATTTGACGATATCTGTAAAGAACGAGTTGAAATTGGACCTGCAAAATACCGAATATGTCGAAATCACATACTTTCCTATGCAGAGACTAGGCAGAGATATTGATTGCTCGGGAACATACTTAGACAACTCGAGTGGTACCAATTTTTTTACGGATAAAAGTTGGACAGAATTGGTGAAGTTTGAGATATGCACATTTTGGATTTCTTAACCATAAGTTATCAAAAATACAAATATTACATTATTCCCATTCAAATTATATAAGAAGACGCCATTTTGAATATTTATTTTGAGTCAAAATGCGCATGCTTGGCAGCCATGTTGGACTCCATTTCTGGCCATGAGTGACACATTTTTAAATTATACAACAGTCCATCAATTTAATGACCAGGTAGCACTTTTGAATGATAGAATATAATCTTCCGGATCTCTATACCGAACTGGATAACCCGTTCCAACCTTATTATTTAAAGAAAACAACCTTGAAAAACAAGAAAATGTAGGGTTTTAACTATTTTTTTAAAAAAATGGGCTTTAAAATGAATAAGTTTGAATATGTAGTGACTTCTTTGAAGTTTTCCGCGTAATATGGGAGATAGCGAGGGTAGATCAGCTTGCATCATCCATTTTGACGGAAAATTTGTGCCAAAAAAAGACTATCTAATGAAACTTTGAAAACTATATGTTTGAGAAGTGAGCAATGGGTTGCTCTTCCAGGCAACGAGTGCCACGACAAGCAAAAGAATATTGCAAATCAGTCTTTTGAATTTATACCTGACCACGTTAAAGATATTCAGGAGTTACAAGAGCCTGCATTTTATCACATGTCTAGTTATCGAAGTTTTACTGATGTCACTAAATTGCAACGAGCTAAAAATTCTACCGAAAAGAGAATTTCTGCAGGTCTTACTCAAAATATTAAACCAGAAAGCAAAGATACGGAGGATAGTGGCCCTAAAGAAAAGATACGAAGGTCAAGAAGACCGAGAGATCAAAATGGCAGAAACGATGCTAACATTTCTACTCGAAAGTCATCGCATGTTCTTCCGGGATGTTGCTTAATATGCAAGAACCGGGACCAATATATGTCACTGATCCAGTAAGTATACTATTCAATGAAATGTATATGCGTTTATAATACCATATTCCAACTATTTTGTCTACTTGTAGAATACGAAGAAAAGGATGAAACGGGGCCTTTCGCTTGCACAGACAATTACCGCTGGACGTCTTCTAACGGCAGCAGAAGTAAAAAATGATGAGAGCGTTTTGGTCCACATACGTGGGCAGGACTGTGTTGCTGTAGAAGTAAGATATAATCGGATATGTTATTACAAGTATACAAAGAATGTTTCAAATATGGACAAGGCAAAGACAAATTTAGGAGCTTCAGTCTACGACAAGGCATTTGATGCTATTTGTACTACTGTAATAGAAAAGAGAATTATAGACGGTAAGGAAATATTCCTGTTGAGTAATATTTTGAAGAAGTTCAAAGAAGCTGTGATTCAAATTGATGTTGATTCAGATAGTAATGTCCCATGCCAATAGTCACGATTAAAGAAAAGAATTGAATCGCGCTATCCCAAATCAATAGTGTTTCATGCGTCTAAAAGCAGAAACATAGGAACACTAGTTTATTCAGCTGACCTTGTTGCTGTAGAAATAGCAGATGATGCCATGGAAATTGATCAAACTGGCAGCAACGATGATGAAAACGATGACTGCTACGACGAGGTGGGTAGAAATAAGGAAGATATGGAAGCACGTCAAGTGTTCAATGTCGCAATGGAAATGAGAGGAATATTTAGAGATGCCAAAGGTGTGGCAGATTGGCCACCTGATGCTACCGATTTGAGTCTTGCAAATGCACTTCAATCTATACCTCACCAATTATTTAACTTTATTGCATGGATGGTTGGATTTTCTGATGAACCAGAATTGCAACATAAAGTTATCATACCGCATGATCATTCCTGCAAGGTTGCTTCAATATGCCAAGATTTGATTTATGCTGAGGCAAAAGGAAGAAAACAAACACACAAATCATTGGCGCTTGGCATGACTGTTCGCCAGTCAAATGGATCAAGAAAGCTGATCGATATTTTATATGGACTTGGACACGCTGTTTCGCCGACACTGTATGTACACGTGATTCAGCACTGGCTACACTTCAAACGTCTGACTCTGTGATCATACCATGAAATGCGAATGATGGCGTGTTTAGTACAATAGTATGGGACAATAACGATTTCCTTGAAGAGACAGTGACCGGCAAAGGTACAACACATGTTGTAAATGGAATCGTTATCCAAAAGGGGGCACCTTCACATCGCGATAAATATCTTGTAAGTAAAAAGGTCCGTAGAATAAAGGTTCCTGCCACCGACATTGAACCGTATTTCAGTGCAAAGAAAGGTCTTCCATCGTTAAGGCAACATAATTCCGATGACGATTTCGAGATTCAGGATGATGATTTCCTTCAAATCCCAGGGAGAAATCTGGACCAAGCGTTTGTGATATGTCGAATATTCTCAACCTATATTGGATGCGTTGTTCCTGGATGGACAGGATTCAATACAAAGCTAGTCCTAGGGACTCCAGCATTATCAAACATTGGCTATATTCCAGTAATTGACAACCCTGTAACAGATTTGGCTACAATCAACGCAATTTTGAAGAAGAGCGTTTCTATTTGTGAACGTATGCAAATTCCGGAAATTGTGGTTGTACCAACTAAAGTCACGTGCACGTTAGCTGCAAAAGAACTAATTACTGCAAATACAATGTCTTCAACAAAGGCGTCTCTCTATAGAATAGCAGCTATTAATGAATATATCAAAAATACTAATTCACATCTCTCTTTTTAGAAAAAACGCAAAATTATATTATTTAGTACATGATTGGTGTAAATATTGTAAATTACTCTGAACTATAATTATCTCTTTTGTCTTTTCACTATTATTTCTGTTTATATATATATATATATACGTATATATATATATATATATATATATATATATATATATATATATATATATATATATATATATATATATATATATATATATATATATATGTATATATATCGTTTTGTGGGCAAATAAATATCTATCTATCTCTCTATTATTTTCGATGAGTTAAAGCTCTCCAATGAGAGGTAATGAGGTACGCTTTTGTCCGCTAAATATCCACGGGAAATTTAGGATTTTTATGTCTTCTAATTTTCCCTCATAGAGCATGCAGGGTCAAATTAGAAGACAAAGAAATAATTTGTTTTCAACGAAATTTTCCTTGGAAATTTAGAAGGCATAAGCGTATATACATGAAAATCGAGGTGATCATAATAATATATCAGTAAGATACTTTTTGTTTTCTACAAGTGACGATAGTCCAAAAATACCGATTTAAATCGTGAATTTCCCTTTTTTTCTTAGAACTGTAAATTGAACTGTATTAAATAAAAGCTAAAACTTCTAGGAACTTTTACCTGAATAAATGCAATATAATAGAAAGTTTTCTGCGCGGTTAAAATTTTAGTCGATTGAAGGTATTGTTTCAGTTCTATTCATTTCACTGTTATTCCAGTTCTATTCATATTCAGTTATATATTGATTTAGTTTTCCATTTTTATTCATTCCCATTCCACCTAGCCACCCCGTTTCGCTACTCCTGCTTTCTATGGAAGTACTACAAAGTTTTTGCAAAAACATCAATCTTCATAGGTCTAAACTTTCTATTTTTTTAGGCTAGAGTGGTTTTGTACAAAGGTGGCAAAGAAGAGGTTGTGCTGAGGTTCAATGCTGCTAACAGCAACAATGTGGACTGGTTTTCTGCTGCAAAAGTTTTTGAATCACCATGGCAAGATATCTTAAGCGAGAAAAAGAACTACTTTACTGTTGGTGGTCCATGCTGGTCAACAGGTTGCAGAGATTTTCACATCAATAACGCTTACGGTGGCTGTCCTGCAGATGATGGTTGGCTCTCTGTTGGAGAAAGCGCTTCATGCAAATGGGAAAAAAGATTCCCAGCTGGAGTGAAGCTGATCTACAGTAAAGTTGCTACTCACGTCAACTACAATACCTTCAGTGAGTTTCGACCGGTTTCATGGGGATTATATTATCCCCGAGCCGACGGCGCGAAGCGCCGTGCGAGGGTACTAATTCCCCCCGGCTATTTCCACTCGGGGAAACGAAAGCATTAGCGCAGTCTAAAGTTCATCAATTATCGCGGGCGTGGGTCACCAAAGGTGTTGGGTGGGTGGACATCCTCACTGATTTCAAAAATATGGTGGACTATCACGAATAGCGGACACTGATTGGTCCAATTTAAAGTTTGCATTATAACGACTGCATGACGACAGCGCAATAGCAAACATTTCTTGATTTGATGATTCGGATAAATTTCTTGCAAATATATTTCATTTTGAATTTTTTTTCTGTGTTGGTGTTGTGTACTGAGGTGAATAATATGTTTGCGATGTTACTCTGAGTGCATATCCACACCGGGTGAGCTTGAAAAATATGCCCGGCCACGGTGGGATTCGAACCTACGACCTTTGGAATACTAGCCCAATGCTCTTCCAACTGAGCTACGCGGTCAGGACGGTTCGAGTAAGTGATATTTCGGAACAGTATCTAGTTCCTTCAATACCAATGTGTTCTTGTAATATGATTTTTTTTCTGTGTTGGTGTTGTGTACTCAGGTGAATAATATGTTTGTGATGTTACTCTGAGTGCATATCCACACCGGGCGAGCTTGAAAAATATGCCCTGCCACGGTGGGATTCGAACCTACGACCTTTGGAATACTAGC